CTGAGCCAAGATACAGGCAGGAGGAAAACTAGGCAGACAGAGAGGAGTTAAAATATATTGTGTCTCTGCTGCTGATTTATCTGCTTATTCAAGGGAAAGGAATGAATATTCAGAAGTGGCTTCTAGAGGTGATTGCCCCGCCACATGTGCATAGGCACGTGTATTTGCATGAACTTGTATTTACCAATGGACTCGCCCCAGGGAGGCTGGTGGTAAAACGACTGCGATATCTCATTAGGGATGTAAACTGAAGAATGTGCAGATTAGTTCCCAGAATATAGCTTGTAAAGCATAGATATCCATACGTATAAAAATTCTGTTAGAGATAAAAGTGGAGTCCATATGTTGCAAGAAGTAAATAATCCCTTCCAAAATGCAACAATATGTAAAACACACACAGCTGAGCGCTCATTGAAGATGACTTTCAGAAGATTTATCTTAAGCTACTTTTTTCACCATAGACTTTAAATGCCATAGCATTAAATCTTAAATTACTATTTGCAGCATTCTTGTGTTTTTTACTCCATTTCCTTTTTTGGGGGTGGTTCCGGCTGTACAAACCACTTACATATAATCACAAGTGTATCAGTCATGTGTTTCACAGGAATTGGGTTAAGAAATACAAATGAATGTTTCAGCATTGCAAGCAATGTGCTCTATTGAACTTTTTGCCAAATTTCCTTCTTACAGTATAGATGCAATTTTGGACCCTAGTTTAAAAAAAATAATAATAAAAAAAAATGTTAGTTTAGTTGTTTGTAGGATTAATGAATGCACAAAAATACACTTATTTCCAAATTCAGAGCCACATGGACTGAAGAGATCCACTGTAAAATTTCCTATATATTTCATATGAGGACAGCACTTTGGTTACTTTTCCATGAAATAAATTTTAAATTTATTCACAGAATTAGAAATTAATGTAATCTCAGTGAGATAGAAGGAGAGGAAAAAAGTGAATTACATCTAAACTCCCTTAAAGCTGGGAAGACTGTAATTTAATCTTGTAATCTGATAAACCAAGACAAATGAGGCAATTGGCAAATAGGTATTTTAATCACAATACCTCTAGAAACCCCCACAAATAACAAACACATGCCAGATCTGAAGGACACATTCATTTCAAAGCACTGATTTAAGAAAAGCTGGCCTGTATGTGACCGACTGAATTACCACCATATTTCTGTGCTGCATGTACGTTGGATTTTCAATTTCAGATCAGGAGCATTGCCTTTAAAAATGGCAAAGGCAATATCCTAGTGTAATCACAGCAGAAAGACAGTTTCTATTACATGCCAGAGTCATTAACCTCATAATTTTTTCATGGTTGTAAGTTAACCCCTGCAAGCTTTTGCTTTCAGCAGCTGCTACGTATTAAAACTTTCCTTGAATTTGACTAACCCTGTGAGCAGTTTCATCTTATAGCAGGCAGATTTCTACGTCTAGCTTGGAGTCAGCATTTTATGAAACAGTTCCTATTGTTATGAAAATGTTTCACTGCCTTTTTGTTAGGTGCTTTTCTTTCTAAACCCGGCTGCTGCTGTCTTTGCATTTTTCTGTTCAAAGGTCAGGTCAAAGGTACTGAATGGTTGACCATGGCTATGTGGAGTGTAAGTGAACCCAAGAATGGCCTTTCTGATTGATCATCTATTTAAACAGTGAGAGTGTTATGCCTTTGGATTAAAACGTAACCCAGGGCGCTGGAAAACGGGAGCTACTGGCTGTTTGGGAAATATGCATAGAGGACTTTCTATTGCTCGTAGTGTTTGATGTGGATCTGAAATTCCATTTGAGTCTTTCAGGTCTTCTTCCCATAACCTCTGTGAATATTTTTCCCTTTGCTTCTTCTCTTGCACACATCTCATTATAAAATGATGTCTTTAATACAGTGCATCGGTAAGGATTTACTGTATCTACACAAAGAAAAAGTTAAATGTGAAACACTTTTCAACACTACCTCCTAATTTAAGGCAATTAAAAACAAAATGAATAAACAAACAAAACACCCCACAGCCACCTCTAGTCTTTCCCGGAACCAAGGCTTTACTGAAGAAATTGGCTTGAATCTGGTTTGAGAGTTTGCAAGATTTTCATAGGTAGGCTGTAACATTCTTTTCAGAAACTTGTCCTTGTCAAAAAAAAAAAAAATCTATTCCACGTTTTATGCATGTGAGAATAGCTGCTCTTAATTTTTGCTCTTGAGATTTAATATAGCACGTTGCAGCGTATGTAAAACAAAGACAAAATTTGATATACCCTGAGAACATCAAGCAGAATAAAGATCACTGCTAATGTTCACTCCCACCTTCTGCTGTATCATTACTTCTGCAGTTAAGCAGTTATAAAATAGCATCCGTGACACTAGTACCTATGCTTGTGCATTACAATATCACATAATGAGACCTACTTTGATGTAGCAACTGCTGTTTTGAACAGTTTCTTTTACTTCTGAAGACAGAATGGAGTCATTACCACCAGGCAGAGCATCATTTTCGAATTATTAATTTCAAAAGCTGGAGATGTCTCCAGCCAATTCCAAGCAGCTGGGTCTGGGACACAGTGAGCTAACATGGCATTTCTCACAGACTCTGTTGACATTTCTTTTTAACAGCCAATATGACATCCCTAGCTCAACAAACCTTATACTGAATATTAAAACAAAATGGGCAGCATCCTGGGAGAGTGAGGGGGCAGCTGTGTCTCTTGTTGAAGTCAAGCCATGAAGAAGTACCAAATCTTTAGTCCTGTTATCACTTTTATCCTGTTTCCAACATCACAGCTTTACTACTAAGGAGGCTTCAGGTTGTGGCTTAACAGCTGTATGTGCTGAGTGCCATTTATGTCACAGTAGCTGTTTAAGATAACAGGTCTCCATTCTCTGTCAAAAATCATGCTGGATGACCATGCCCATCACATTTCAAAGCCCTTATGACATTGCAAGAGACATGACATGTCATTCAGGTTTAGTGACATTTCAGGTTGCTTTTTTGTACCAAACAGAAGACTCTACACAGAGCGAGGGGTTGGGGGATTGGGCTGTATATATTTATGAGCAGTGAGGGACATCTCTGAAAGATAACTGGCATTATTTGATTGTTTGGGCTTTATGACTCAGATGACTCTTCTACCTAAGCAGGTTGTGGCCAGTATTTTGGATTGGCATCTATAAGTCATCACTTGATTCAAATCAGCTCCTGGCATTAGCTCCTGCTGGACAATTATTAATTTTTTCAGACAAGCGCTTTCATCAAAGTTCATCTTGCCATAGCACAAGTGGTTAGCTGGGACTGAACTGGAAGAGCAGTTTCCCCAAGGGGGGACTTTGTGGAGGGAGGAAGTCTCAGTGAGATTCACCTGGACTAAGACCTGCAGCCTGTAAGGTGCCTCTGCCACACACCAACTGCTGAGAGCAGCTACCTGCACTTGGTTTTTACCATGGGTGCACTGGGTAGGTGCATGTTCTGAGGAGAGTGCACTTTCTCCAGAGGCTACCTCCTCCGGCATGGTTAGGAAAAGCTTTCCAAGCCCTCTCCTTTGGCTTCCTCCAAGCTCTCTTTTGCTTCAAAAGAGGCACAGAGAGTACTTGCTGCAAGAGCACTGCAGATAGCAGCCCCTTCTTTCTGCACGTGAATGGACATAGGGCCATCTGACAATTAGGAGCAAGGAAGACTCGTGGGACCGTGATTGAAGTTCTTGGTGCTTCAGGGATACAAGGGATACACTGTAACATTAAAATAAACTTTCATTCCAAAGAGTCCTTTGGATGAAGAAAGAGTTGTGAAGTTGGTGTTCAGTTAACTTTAGGTCTGACTGTAGCTGACTTGATCTTTGGGTTTATCTGTGTTGCCCACAGTGCTGCTGCTGGGGATAAAGTAAGGCTGTAGTTTTATTATAAAAGACCAAAATCTCAAAGAGAAAAGTACATTGCCAGCTGCAGTCTGTGACTACCTAGTAATCTGAGGTTGAAAAAGCCTATAAGTGGTACAGTAAGTAGAGCATATTATGTAATACATTCACTTATTTGACATTCTTCTGGACAAAACGTGGCATATTTCACAGATGGCTTAATGTTCTTGGTCACTTAGGATAAAAGGGCACGGAAAACCCTTTCTCAGCTTCCTCAAGGCGGGCTGACTCCCGGTATTAGCGCCTCATTTGCCCTGGCTAAAGATAAATTACCCCATTACACTGCATGTCCTCTGCCCTCTGGCAGGGGATTAAGTAACTTCAGCTCGGGTGCACCACCAGTCATCCCTGCGCACTTCTGCACCGCGGCTCGAACAACGTTCTTCTTATGCCGGCTCCGTATGTGCGTGTGTAGCTATTAGGCTAGGTCGTGGCCCCATTATGCTAGATGATATACATGTACATCATTAGAGACAACCCCAACCGAGTCTGCTCGGCCGCCCTACCTGCGCCGCTTGTAACAGCTCACGCGGCCGAATGTGTTCCCCAGATGTGCGCCCCAGGAACAGGCGCTGCAGAAATGTCCCATCCAGCCGCCCTCAACAGGGACTAATCACAAAGCATGTGCTTAAATACTTTCCTGGGCAAATGCCAGCATGAGCTGTGGCTTGCCGGACTGACTTAAACCCACGCGGCTCCAAATATATTTGCAAGGGTTCTGCAGAGGTAAATCAAACCTCCAGGCTTGGATACAAAGTGAGCTCCATTTTCCTCTCACCAGCCAGATGAATCCCATGGAAGAAACAGAAATCTATGGGATTTTCCACCCATGGCATTTTGCCCAGATAAGCCCTTCTTAAGTCCCAGCGTGGCTGTGGCTGACAGAGATGCAGTTAGAGTTGGACCCCAAAACTTTGGCAGGCTATCACTCCCTCAAGATATGCAATTTCATCAAATATGAAATGTTTCACAAAACTCATCTGAGTTGGCAAAAATAAGGTTTTGGAGAGAAACAGGAAATATTTTTTGTACTACGTTTTCAACATTTTACATAAGATTTTTGATGTCTCAATTTGAAAAATAAAATAAATAAATAAAATTAAAAAAGGTTTTATTTTCAATATGAATTTTATAAGTATCACTATTCAAAATTCAGAACGTCTGATCCATGATAAATACAGCCACTTCGGGGTGAGAAGGGAATCTCTTTCAGCATGAAGGATAGTCATTCAATTTACCTAGGGAAAGTCAGACAGGGTCTCATTTAGATATAATTTAATCATTTTGTCACACATATTCAGAGTGCTTACGCTCCAGAGAGTGTGTTCCCAGAGGCAGCTGATTCACTCACTCACTTCCAGGGCTTGCAGGCACCTGGTTCCCTCTCACCTCTGTCTAGAGGAAACTCTTTCATGCAGAGACCCTGGGAGCCCTGATAACTCTAGCACGAGCCAAGGACTTAACAGTGTCCAGACACTCAGCTGCAGAGCTGAACCAACCTTCCCAGGGGTTTCTAAAACTCCCAGGGCTTCTAAGGAGCACGAACCCCCTCAGGGCTCCTGTCCTGCTTTGAAAGGAGCTGCATAGTGCAGAAACTGCAGTTCTCTAAAGCTTCAGTGTCCCGTCAGCCAAGCCAACGAACTGGTGGGAAATAGCCCATAGCAGAGGTCTTCTCCCAGTGACACCTGTCTGGGAAATAGCTTGCTTTCACCGAGCATTTTCACGTTGAGTTTCTTCCTTATGAACATTTGTCTGCTCCACAAATATCTCATCCAGCATTAACTGTTTCAAGGCTGTTAAAAAAAAAAAAAAAAAAAAAAAGGAAAAAAGATTATTGACCTGCCTGAAAACATTGTTTTGTTTTGCTTTTCTCTTATTTCAAAGACAACTCATGCATTTGGGGGCGGGGGAGGAGGCAATTGCAATCTGAGTGGAAGACAAAGGTCAAAGTCTCAAAATCCTTTGCCAAATGGAACTGCTGCCCCGAATACAGCTTTAATCACAGTAGGACAATGTTCTTCTCTATTGTACCTTAGTGGGAGATCTCTGCTGGTGCAAACAAAATAGATTCTCCTCAAAGAATGAAATGAGATGACAATGTAGATATTGTCTTTGAATGACCTCCAAAAAAATCAGGAAGTGAATACCAAACTTGGTTTGAAATGTACTTATTGTGCAGACTGGGAAAAAGAAAATCAGATGAAATATCCTGATTATACAATTCACCAACATAAAGTGAAACAAAAAATAGGAAATAACATGCAATCAACCCTATCCATAGGTCTATATAGTATTTTAAATTTTTATCAAGCACTGAAGACAATACATACCAGCAGTATACTGTTGTATATTTCTGCAAATCTAGCAGTGAAATACTGTAAAAGCCTGGTCTAATAGAATTAGAATTGCTTTTCCTTTTCCAAATTATGTCACTTCTTTTTATTTATTTTATTATTTATTTTTTATTTTTTGGTAGTATACTAATCACCTTTCTGTGATTATTTTTATTTTCATCAACATTTTGTTGTCAGACATTAGAGTCTTTTCTCTCTATTGAAATGCTTTCAGACCATTACCTTTATCCTCATCCTGTTATATCTGAAATTTTTAAACATGGGTTTTTAAAGGCTAGTGTTGCTGCGTACTTTCATTTTTCAAAGCCTAGCTAGATGTGGGCACTGATCTAATGCTTCAATAGTGTATTCCGTTGGCTTTTTGTCCTAAAGAGAAAAAAAAAAAATCTGCCTTGAGGGAACATAAAGCAGTTTATCAGAGCTGTGCTCTCTAACTTTTGTGAGAAAATTTAGGAACAAAAGCACAATTTGTGACATACATCTTTAAAAGCATGAAGCTTTTTTTCATCTACTATTTTTTTCCTATTGGACCTAAGAAATTCTTTTCTAATTTAAGTAAGTGATAGCACTATCTCTGCTCTGCAGACTTGTTGACTTACTATTGTTTTATCACTTTTTTTTTCTTTAACTTTTGGATTAATTATATCACCACATTTCAGAAGGGCACAGCCTATTTTCAAACATAAGGTTTTATTTCCCTAAACAACTCAGGTGTGAGAATACAAGGGGCAAAGGGCTTTTTCCATTAGCAAATCAGGGCTATAAGAGTAATAGTCGTGATGATAATGATGAGGCAAACTAAATACATCAGTTCTCCAGCAGGAAAACTTCTGAAAATATAAATGAAAGTGCATACAGTTGTATTTTAATTAGCAGAAGGGCATAAAATGCTGAGTAAATTTCATTTCCAAAATGCAATAGGAAATTACTCTCTTCTGGCTACTGCTCCAAATTCCCCTGAACTCAAACCTGACTTTCAGGGGGTCACTGATGAGATCCTAGCATTGCTGTAGGTGTCTCTGTGATTTCATGAGTGGGATGAGAACAAGCCCAAGCAGTAGGATGGGATGGACCTGTCCATAAGTGCCCACCAGAAGAAGTCTGTGGTTCTTGTGTCCCAGGTTGTACAGAGGCAGTGCTACACTGGGATGCACTGCTCTTGGCTGGTCCAACAGGCAGACGTGATTGCAGCTAAACCCTAGGACTCTTGGTGAAAACTGCCTCCCAGGTGTCTCTCCTTTAAGGCACACATACTCTGAGCCCCTCGCCTGATGCTAAAATAGACCTCACCTCCCGGACCCTCTGAGCTAGTACCTTCCCCACCTTTGGGTCCAAGCCATAGGAAGGTATAAGGATAACATATAAGTCCTGCATATGAGCTGCCTGCAATGCAGAAGTAACAAGAAATGCAACTAGTTCTGCTAGGCTCCACGGTAATGTTAATTACTCTAAAGCAGCAGCATCTGGCCTCATTTCTGCTGGGTGACTGTTACCATAGGAGTGCTCTGCAAAACAGGACTTTATGTATAGACAGATAACCACATAAACCTGTCTCCATTTTACTACCTGTTGGTTTTCTATGTATCTGTAGAGCACCTGATTCTGGAACATTTTTGTGCAAATAGTTACTGCTAGAGCAAGTCAAATAGAGCACAACCTTGAGAAGTTTGCATTCAAAGAAGAAATATTTCAGTAGCTGAAAGTTCAGCTTGAGATAATACGGTGGGCTGGACAAACTGAACCTATTTCTGTAGACCAGAAAAACTTAACGAGAAAGCCAGATTATCAGCAAGGTGTCTATGTCTATACCAGCATTAGCTGTGTTTGGTGAGAGTAGACCTGCAGACACAGCAAGCAGAAGACAGGCACATTCAAGTCCTTGCAACATATTTCTCTCCTTCCCCCCTTGCCCTTTTAACATTCACTCCTCATGGGGAGGAGATAACTCAGTGACACAGCTACTACGTAAAGCAGGAGTAATATAGTGCCCATGCATTATCCTATATTGATTTTCTTCCCTATCAGCAGCATTGGCAATATTTCTGCTACCAGGATGAATGTTACAGTCTTTCTGTCCTGTTCACTGACAGTATATATTCCTGCATTTTCTCTACTGTGGTGCCTGATTGGATTAGTCCTTTGTAAAGTGTATTGATCAAAGCCTGCTGGAGCCTCAGGCTTCTAATATCTCTCCTAAAGAAGCTCATAATCAGGTTATCCTAGCTTCACATAACTCTAAACATGCAGAAGGATCTACAGCAGAAAAACAAAAATCTAGAACCCAAACCCTTGCCTTTCTCTGGAATTAAAGTATTCATTTGCTGATTTTAAACACTGCTTGGAATGAGAATGAGAATACTTCCCAAAGTCTGATCAGGAAAGCTGAGGGTTAAAAGCTGCAGCAAGCAGAAGCTGTGCAAGCTGCCAATTATTTCCAGCTGAGATTCCTGTGTAAGAAAAAGGGCTGGTAGGCAAATAGGGATTGGTGTATTTGGAAGAGGGAGAAAGTTTCTGTTCCCAGGAGCTGGTGATTAGTCTAATATCTCTGTTTGGACTCATGTTTGAGCTGAGTCTGCCAGAAAAAGGGGAAGACAGTTCGAGCGAATTATTTATCCTGAAACCCATTTCAGAAACCTTGAGGGATATTTTTCTGAGCTTTGTAGCAATATTATAGTGCTCTTAGGAGCTTAGAGATTGGTTGAAAAAGTTGCTCTTATGTTAACTGAGAAGATTAGGCTGTTTCTGTCTGAGAGATCTTCTAGAGAGGGAAGGCAAGAAAGTTAATTGGAAGCAACTTGTCAAAAAACTGCCAAAATGGTGGGAATATCTCAGTTGTTAGACTATGCTATGATGGGGAAAATTGTTATGGAGATGTCCACTGCCGTAACTGCAAGGGGTCCCTGTGTGCCTGCAATATAACCTGTCCCCTGGCAGCTCTTCTCTGATCCTAGGGATGCTTTTCCCAGTCCTCACAGCCTCATTTAGCCCCTGCAGCTTCCTTCAGCAGCATCTCCTGAAGGATGAAGGAACATCAAGGCTCATCATTTACTCTTCCAGGGAGACGGGAGAGTATGCTGCCCTTGGGAGCACCTCATTTCCTTGTACAGTGGGACAAGGAGCCTCCTTCACCCATCTGGATGGCTTAGGCTCTTGTGGGTACCATGGCCCCAGGCTTTGAATACCCAGAGGGCCTGTCCTTGAATAGACTTCACTCCTAGATGCTGCCTAGTAAATGACAAAGATGTAAATATCTAGATTATGAAAAGGATACAGATATAGCAAATACTAGTGGTAGCTCAAGTTAGAAAACTGCTGCAAACTTCTTTTATTCTTCTACCCTTCTGTCAACCACTCACTTCTGTTAAAAGTACCAAGAATGGCAAGATAGAGTAGATAGATGCCAGGAAATGTGCTCTGTGATTATGGGCTGGTACCACTGCCCATTTTCCTCTGTGATAGACTGATAATACCCGTTAAATTTAGCCTTGGCTTTGCCTACATTGACTGTCAAGCATCTTGTCACTTCAGTTGTTGAGTTATGTGCATAGGAGAGTTATGGTCATGGGAAGAGTTTCCAACATCAAAGAAATACTTTGATATTTCTATTTGCTGTGAATATTTACTTACTGCATCTTTCTATACTCCTCTACTTGCACGTGTGCAGATGCAGAGTTAGCATCTCTCTGAGACTGTCTGAAGAGGCAGAAGATGAGCTCACTGCAGGGCTCACTGCAAGACAGGAGAAGGCGTCCCTGCCAAGCAGGGTAATAGTGGAAGGACCGCAGGTGGCAGGTACTAATGTGTTCACTGTGTCTGTCACTAGAGATTTCCCTGCTTCAGCTGGCACAGATTAAGCAGTAAGTAAGCGTTAAAGAGCTCAGAAACCAGAGCTCACACCCGCAGGAAGTGTCCTGTTCTGGTGCTCATGAATCCCCGTAGTTCTGATTTAAGGCTTTATTCCCTCTGTAACAAGCTTGAAAATATTGTGGCCCATGTTTTCACGTGTGTTTAATTTTAAATGCAAATATCTCGGTCCTCTTCAAGTAACTTGTCCACCACATTGCCATCCCACAGAAAGCCCACACTGACATAAGCATGTCATAAGCACTCCAGTAGCTCACTACATGCCTGCCTGGTGCAGAAACATTTGGGAGACAGGCACAAAGACTTGCCTACAGAGACTAGCTGCCATCACTATTCAGAGAAAACTGGAAAAGATGTTGTATTGTTTTCGTCATTCTAGTTGACGTAGGAAAGCTTCACAAAATAAGGTTCTGAACACAGAAAGAAAATCAGCATTGTCCTAAAGACTGCCCAGTCACAGCAGTGGAACAAATGGAAGGTTTTGCAATTATCCTCAGGCAATCTCTGTTTATCCAGAGCAATATTTGCCATCTTGTGGCAGCAAGACACTGAGCTGCTCCTCAGCCATGTAAAACAGTTATGCTCATCTGTGAAAGGCAGATGTGAGGATAGTAAAATGTTTAGTGCATTTTAGTGCAACATTAATGAGATGAAGTGGTAGATTCAGGCGCAATCTCAATGAAGTTAATGGCATGAGGTCACCAGTCACATTACTTCCAAACCAGCACATTTGTCAGAACAGAAGCTGCTTGGTCTTTGAAAGTCTTTCTCCCCCCCTTCCTATTACTGTAAAATAAAATTAAGAGCTTTGTATATATTTGTAGCCTATTTTACAAAATGCTCTGCTATGGAAAAGTGGAACATCTGACTTTTACAGGAACTCCACTGGTTTTGTGCATTGTTGCTGCAAGTCTCAGAGCTGTTTCTAAAAAAGGAGAAGCACAGAACTGGAAAAAAATAAAAATAAAAAGCATACAAAAAGAATGAAAAAAAGAATGAATCTCCGGAGGTGAATTGGAGCTGAGCGTGAAAATAGAAATACTTCCAAGTCAGACACAGATTCAAGACTCTGGGGCTCAAGCTGTATGTACATCATGTCACTTGCCAGAACAGCAAGGAGTTGTTTAATGAACTGAGATTTTGGTAGGTAGCCTGAAAGAAAAGGAAATCACAGAGGATTTCTTTTTTTTTTTAACAAGTTGTGAGAACCAGAAAATCTTCACATACTCATGTATGTTACAGGCCTGTATAGTCCTACTGAAATCAAATACTTGTGTGCTTGAAGTTAAAGCAATTGCACTTCTGCCTCTGTGGATCAAGGCCAGAGTCGAACACCTTGCTGAATGATCTTGAAGCAGTTTCCTCCTCTAATTTGTCTCCCCTAGCATCAGAAAAAGCTCTCATAGGTTGTCATCACTGCTTAGCAGAGCTTCTTTTCATGGCTAATATGATGCTAAAGAAGAGACAAGTTGTCCTAGGAACACCTCAGTGCATTAAAGCTAATATGATGAAAGGAGACAGGCTTAATCTGAAGAGAGCCACAGCCACCTCCACCCGGACTCTAGCTGTAAAAGAATATAGCATGTCTGTGTTAAGACACATTAGTCAATGAGTCACTTCTGGAAGAGAACAAAATTTATTATTTTTGGTTTGCAAGAGCAAGAGGCCTGCCAGATCAACAGAAAAGAAACCAGACTGGTATCACTTAAGTTTGTAGTCAAGGGAAAAGTGTATATAAAATTTTCTACAAATAGGCTAAGATTGGTTACTTACTCTGCAGTATAACATACAGGAAAGGGGTTCCCATACTTATGCAAGCCTGCTTAATTAGATTATAGACACATTTAGGATTAATTATTCCCAGCCCATAGGAAAGATGGAGGAAAAATATTGCAATAACACTGAAAAGCATTTTGAAGATGTACTACTGTATTTTTCCTTAGATGAAAAGAGACTCTAACCCATCCCCAGGCAGTCAGTTCATTACTGCCTGTGTTTGATTTCCACTACACCATTAACTGGACGGTAAAACATGGCATGAAATCTGTCACAGGAGCAGAGTCACTTTGTGCAGGTCTAAGATGGGTTACATGTCCATCCTCCCTGTCTCCACAGTGCCCATCACAGCTGGGCTTCTCCAGTAAAACCAGTGTAGCTATGATGCCTGCCTGTTTGCCTGAGGCTGATACCAGCACTCTCTGAAACTGCACCAGAGTTACAGTGCAAAACGCAATAACTCTGTCCTCTGCTATTAACACATCTCTCTCTGGGACTGTATTGTTAAGGAGTATTCTCTGGCTGGCTGGTGAAAAGTCAGGGGTTTCTGAACAAGCAGCCACTGTTACAGCCAAGGTTTGGTGCATTGGGAACTCTATTCCAGCTCCCCAAAACACCACTATTGAAGAAGCCCTTCTCACATGAGGTAGCAATCCCACGGTGCATAAAAGATGTGTTGTTCTGATTACTGTACACAGAAGTTTATTAATAACCAGAGGAGGTGCCCTTCATTGAGGTCAGCCCACCACCAGATTCACCTTCAGGCAAGTTGCTCTTCATTTTAATTGCTTCTACTCACAAGAAGCAATTAAAGAAAGAAAAAGGGGAAGAAGAAAAGGGAAAGTGATGGTTCAACTCCATGCTTGTTTGGGATGGCAACCATTGCCAAAAAGAAGGGAAAATCCACTGTCCAATTTGGCTTTTCTCATGCATTTGGTATGCATATGTGATATATAATGTAATATATATGTTAGTTTGCTACTTATCAAGCAATCAGAACTGTGCCAGACACATGGCAGAGCAAAACTCTTATGAATTCTACCCAGAAGGGCACACAATTTTATGGTGGCATGACACATACTGTGTATGCCTGTTCAGAGGCTTTTGGTTACTTCTCCTACCTACTCAGTTACTATACAAATTTTCTTTCCTGAATACAAGCCCTTAGAAAACCTGAGTGGGCTAGTTAAGTCAGATAAAATAAAAAATAAAAAATAATAATAAAAAAAAAGAAACTCAAATGAAAATCCAGTGTCTTAGCTGTAGATACTTATGACTGCATAAGAAAATCTTTCTCAGACAGCAAATTTACATATAGTTCAGCTTCACCACCTTTCTTGCATATGAGTTTCCTTAACAAACTCCAGGGCTTGAGAAAGAGACTTATCTTTTTCTCTGGTCAGATGGACTTACTTCCAGAGCCAGATAAACAGAAAAGCTGAGGTATCCAAACCAAGTTTTGTTTTCTTGATCTCTAATGGTTTTGGCCTCAAGTGCTTGGAGGGAAAATAAAAATCTGCCAGGTGATAGTCTTAAATCAGGGAGACAAGAAAGCAAAGAGGATACAAGCTGTCCAAAAACAGTCAGGAGCCACATCAGCCTGTTCTGGTTAAGTGCAGCTGGCTGGCCTTTCGAAAATCTCACTGATACTCTGCTGGGCTCTAATGTTTGTGTTAATCATGTATCTCTGGTTAAAAAAAAAAAAAAAAAAAAAAAGTAAATCTGCAAAGCATACTCTCTTTTTTATCATTTCAATAAAAAGATCAATTGATGATCATGAAAATCATCGATTTTTCATGATTGATGTTTTTTTGATTTACATTTACGTTTACATTTCCCATTTTCAAAGATATTCAGCCTGATCCTGCTGTCTTCTCCAACTGCTTGAAGCATGAGCATGCCATCAAAGTCCCTTTCAAAGCCCGGTGCAATTGAGATGGGAACCAAGCCCAAGGATAAAATTCCAAAATTCCACTTACATCACTACTTTGAAAGGCAGAATTTACCACGTGGCTAATTTAAACCAATGTAACCCCATTTTTTTTCACTGATGTAAACCTGATTTACACACACACAGAAGAGCTCATTCCACCTCTGGATGTTTTTTTTCTTCCAGGATCCTGGTTCATGAGGAGAGGTTAAAGAGATGAGGAAAGGGAAGAGGAAGGAGTGTAGTTAAAAGGTTTCCTTCAGCTTTTTATTGGCAGATAAAAGTAGAATCCCCACTGAAACCAGCAATGATGTATTTATTGGCGAAAAGGTCAATTAAACTTTATAGTCACTAGTACTCTGTTAAAAAAAGAATAAAACTCTAACAGATAAATTAAATAATAGGTTTACAATGAAGGCAAAAAATATTACCATTTGCACTGTCAATCAAAGCATGTGTTTGAATTCTTCAGTGAACTGGAACTGCAGAAAGAAAAAGGGATATGGGAGCATTATGGGAATCGAGACAGTAAATTACAGGAGATATATTGTTGTGGAAACTATATTATTCTTTAAAATGAATTCAACCTTCTTGACCTACCTCTTTTCTTCAAAATTTCATCTCTTATATATGACCACTTCTTAGACCACCAGGCTAGAATTCAAATGCCTGAACGTGCAGCATGTTTAAAAAGATGAGAAATGACAAATATGTTGACAAATTATTCAAGCCTGGCCATTTGTGTAGCACATCGTGCATTCTGATTAGACCTCCCAGTATTAATGGATTTAACCTTGGTGGTGGTGTGTGAGGCCCAGGAACCCAATAGCCATGGTTTTGCAGGGGTGAAGGTTTTGCAGTCAGGTGAAGGCGGTAGAGGTGGGCGGTGCTGAAGCCTTGTCTGTAAGGTGGAGAACCGCTTCTGGGGGTGGACTCTAAGATCAAGGCAAACCAGACCTTTCCATGGGGGAAGATGTTTTTCCAGTTCCTGAAAAAAATGGAAATATTTGTGTGCAAGTGAAATTCTGTGGAAAATGGAGGTTCAATAAAATGTTACTTCAGGTCAATCAAAACTTTCTGCTGTTATGAAATCAAAGCATTATGGTCCAAGTCTACCCTTTGAAAACTTGTCGATGTGCTTTTGTGTGAAAATAATAACAATGAAGTGCATGTGGGAAAAATCATTTCCAAATGAAAACTGAAAATATTCCATTCCAGAAATACTCACGTGGGCCACTTCAACCTTATGGGAATGCTTTGTTTTGGGACAAGAAGTTCTGGAAACGAAATACTGCCAGATCTGACAATTCTTTTTTTTTCAAAACATGGTTAATAAGAGAAAAAAATCACTTTTCACTGAGAAGAAACCTAGGTTGCAAAATAGAGTGTGGCAGTACTTTGCTGAGCTTGAGCAATAGGATCTGAACCTGACTTTCAGGACACGGCATTCAGGTGGGATCGAGTGCAGCTAAGGTGACACTGAGCGAGGATGCTGTCCTCGCAGTTAGTTAATGAAGTGAGCATTTTCTGTTAAACTCAAGAGCCTCTCAGGGAATCAATATTATATTTGTGTCTCAGTAGAGGTATTTCAGAAGTCTAATCCAAGCTGGAACCGATGTCATTTTAAGTCTGCAGGCATTCTGTCGGTTGGATACAAATGCCGTAAGCGATGTGTGGATTTTATTTTAATTGGCTGTTTTAAGGTACAGAGAGGCAGATATCTGTTTTGCTGGAGGCAGATTTCTTTCCTTGTGGGGACTACGCTGAGGGCCAAACTGCCTGTGAAAAAGCAGGTTGCGGTCTGCAAAAGAAGGGGTGTTTCCCTGTGCCTGGCCACATCGATATTTATTCATTTTCGATTTACTGGTCAGCTGTCTAGGGGAAAGTGGCGAGGCATTATCTGTGGCAGTGCGACCTCCAGATAGGCCATCAGATTAAGATAAATTTCCTAATTTAAGAATTATTTTGATGGGGTGGGAAAGGGCAGCTCAGTTTTGTCACCCCTGCCAGGAGCCCCCCGGCATGCACGACTGCCCTCATTGTGGAGGACATTAGCTCTCAGCCATTACTGCAGGCAGAGCAGCTGCAGCAGCTTAGCGACCCCTCCTCCCCCCACGCTCACACCGCCGGGCCATTTTAATTGCAACCCACGGCTTAAAGTCTTCATTAACTTCTCCCCGAGCCCTGCCTCCTCCTCCATAAGATCAGCAGCTTGTCTCCCTGGCCGGTGGAGCAGCGAGGAACATCTGCAGTTCAAACGTGATGCATATGCAAGAGCGCCCTGGGGATTAAAGGTCAACGGGCTCCTCCAACACCCAGGACCCTCTCTCCCTCGCAGGGTGTCTGGTGTCTTTTACATCCCATTGTTCGAAACCCTATACTTCCTGGCAGGGCTTTTTGCCCGTGCCTTCAGCCCAACTGCTGCAAGGCTCGGGCGGCGCATTGGCAAGCTGGCTGGAGCTGCCCTCCAACCCGCGCGCGCTGGGAGCAAATAATCGGGTCCTTCCCTTGGCCCCTCATTGCACAGCCCAGCGAGGGGATGGCTACAACAACAGCTGCAGTGCTGGGCTCGCTCGTGACAAATGGTCCTGTCAGTCTCCTTATTGATTAGCAGTGTTATGACATTTCCCTTCAAAAACACAGATGTGGCACGGGCAGCGACAGGAGCACCGCTCTGGGAGGAACATAATGTTTGCTGTTGTTGCCGTTTTCCTCTCCGCATCTGTTCGTATCTGTGGCGATGATGGTTTCATGTGCTGACTGTTTTATCAAGAAGCAGTGGGAGCAGGTGAAACCTTTGCCTGGGCTAAAGGCAAATACGCCTTGTCACATCAGGGGGCCGAGCCCTGTTCTCCCCCACCCTGCTGCAGTGAGCAGGGAGCTGGCCAAGGACTTGGTCAAGCTGGCGTTTGCAAAAGAGAGTGAAGGTGTGCTAAATCCATACATTTTTCCTCACTACAGGCATAAGGAAGTGACCTCTTTCTCTCAGATATTAGAGGTCAAAAGAGAAATTTAGGAGGTTCTCTATTTTTCACGGCATGAAGTAGAGCAAGTTTTTTTTCCCCAACCATACAAAATATGGACAATTTAATTCTAAAATGGTGTAAGCCCTTCTTTATCAGTCTGCAACATCTAATTCAGCTTTCAGTGAATGCTTTGCAGTGCTTCGTGGGGAAACTAGTTAGAAGAAAAGTGCTTACCTTCCAGTCCTAACAGCTGTTCCTTGGAGGCTAAATTACAGTACTGTGCATGATCTGCATTAGGATGCTTGGAAATTCCTGATAAACATGACATTTATTGAGTTGGTTGTTACATTTAAGGGAGCTTTATACCTTTTGAGTGAGAAAAAGCAATGCCAGCATGTCCAATATCATCTCTTCTCTTGACCAAAGCTCTTACAGTGCTAGTACAGCTGAAATGTGCTAAGCCGCAAGCCTGATTTACATGAACTTGAAGCAAACTACATTAGCATGATTGTGCAGGCATTACTGTACACAGTACACTGGTAATGAAAAGCATGTTTCGAAATGTCTCTTGTACAACTTTCAGCATATTTTACAGCCAAAAGAAGAGATCTAGTCTAGAGGGAAAAAGAAAAATACAACAAAAAAAACATGCTTTTGACCCCCCAGGCAACATGATGTAGATTAATATGAGTTAAATGAAATGTGACCAATTTGTAAGACATTTGGTTTGTATCTTGAGAAATTGAAGACAAGATCATTTTTCCTTGCAATCAGAGCAAGCCTTAGGCTACAAGCTCTTGTAGTCTCTACAATTGCCATAGGCCTCCTCTTTTAATATATTGGTGTATCCTCAAATATGTCTTACAACTTTCATAGTCCAATGATGTGATAGATTTGCCAGTATGATACTTCTGTTGCCTTTCCTCAGGAAAAGCCACCATTAGTCGTAATGTGTGCTTATAGCTTCTGTGAATTTCATCAATTTCTGTGTAATATTCTGCCTACAGCTGTTTATTTATGCAAGAAAATAGCTGCAGTAATCTATATCCTATAGTGTATGAAGGGATTATACAGCAAGAAAACTGTTTTTCTGCCAAAGGTTCGTCAGTGTTTCTGAAAAAGGTTGTTTCAGACTGGCAAATGGCCAGTAAAATGTGGGTCTGTTCTGGGTTTATATTAACAGGAAAATCTCAAAATAATGCAGTTTTCAGCATTTTATTAATGATCATAAAAAACTCTTTGCAGTTTTAGATTTGGAGGTGAAAACTTTTAGAGATTTACAAAGCAGGTTGTAAAATTTTATTCCCAGTAGATAGCTGGTTCACAAACTGTGGTCACACAGAAACTCAGTAATCAGGCTTTAAATACAGTTCAAGAGCTCCAAACCCATATAGCAAGTTGGACTTCCTCTAAAATTCATCTCCTTTATCGCATCACAACACCACCTTCCCATGTCTGCAAACAGCATCTCAAACTCACAAGTTCAGCTTAAACCTCTGTTCCACTCTTTGCAGCTATAATTCAGGAAAAGGTTTCCTTTGCTTTTCACATGACCTAAAGAAAGTGCCCCAAAGGCACAAATCCAGCAACTAACTTGAATATGACCTTCAGCTTTATACACTTAAGGAAAAAAATACCTATGATATGTTTGGCAGTCTTCCACTTGGGTGTGTGGGCAATATCATTCAGGAACATTTGGTAGCTATAACAACAAGATGTTCTGTAATTGTTAAGCTCATTTGTTTGAATAGTGGACAAGTAGGGACAAATGGAGGTCGCTTTTCACTTTTTTATTTATTTCAGAATTAAAGTAGGAGGACTGAGAGATGGACAATCAGGCACTCGTGGTTCCAAGTGCAGAGGCAGGGACAAAGCTCATCACGGAGCTCTTTGCACCTCTGGATGACACCTTCCATGCAACTGTTAATTCAGAGCAAAGAAGAAGTAGCAGCCATGACCAAGGGAGCAATAACAGCACCCAGGAAGTTCTGCTTCGGTCCTGGCCCTGTATCCTAACTGGATGCTGTGTTCTTTGCAGAGCTCTGTAACACAAAATACAGAAATTTATTCTTGGCTTTACAGATAGCAAGGGGACATGTTTCCTGTGATATTTTGGGCCATACATATTGAAGAGAGAGATATGGGATTGTGCTCTCAGCTAATGATTCCTTATTCAACTTTGGATGCACACGAAGAGAAAAGGGCTCAGCATTTTGACTGTGCACTACTGTTGCCAACTTCTTTACTGTGCTAATGGCTACAGGGAGATAGCCCTCACAAGCCTACCAAGCCAGCCTTAGTCTCTTTTATACTACTGGAGTTTCAGTGGCATTGTAGGTGGTTTACAGATCAGATGGAAGACAGATCTGCAAGACATACCTGTCCACAGAGAAAACATAAAGGAAAGGAGTCTTCAACCTTTTTGGCATCTGGTATTCTCCACAGATCTTATTGTTTTAAGTAGGGATTCTAGGAAATTAATGTCCTTGTATGATCAGAGATTAGTTTGATTTGAAAGGGACTGCTGAAGGTCACTTAGTCCAATACCCTGCATAAGAATGTGCCAGCTTCACAGTTAGATCAGATGGTTCAGGGCATTGCCCAGGAGGTTTCTGAAAATTTATCAAGCAGAATAGCAAGGATTTAAATACACAAAACTATATATAGTGCTTTGCTGTTTGTTGCAGGTTTGGTTTTGTTTTGTTTTTGAGTGGCTCAAACTGTGATGTATTACCCAAGAAGATTCACATAACAGTATGTGGCACCACAAGCTTATTTATATTTGTTCTTCCTGAAAGCATCCCAATTGGATCAGTGTATCTGCACTGAACTCACAGGGCTACAGCCCTTTGTGTCATAGCTGGATCTGGCCTATCCCACCCAACACAGCCATTCAACCCTTTATTTTCCAGACAGTGTCCCTTTTCCTCTCATCCCATTTCAGGATACAGCTCCAGTTCTCCAGGGCAGCAGCCCTGCCCTGGGCCCATCAGCCTGATGAGGACAGCAGGCTGCTCACTAA